AATACGGTGTTGATGGTGATTTTACAGAACACACTACTGCAAACAGCCAGAACTATGTATCCAAACCCATCATCAGTTCCTACAGATTCTATCTCCAGGGCATAACTCAAATCCATTAACTTGTCTTCCTTACCTGTGCTGTCATCCTAGGCGGCTACCTCTTGCCTTTAGTAAAGTTTTTCTACTTCCAATTTATTCTCAAAGGGGTCAGTGTAACCCTCGAAATGGGCTGTGACGCTAGTCCCTGGGTTAAACCACTCAATGACTTCCCAATGCACTTAAGATCAAATTCCAGATCCTTATCAGGCCCATAATATCACTCCTGATACCCGATGACCTCTCCTGCTTCATCTTGGCACCAATCCCCGGTCATAGCATTCTAGATACACTGATTTGTTCTTGTTGATGAAACGTCAAAGACTTTTCTGCCTTAGGAACTTCAAACACACTGTTCTCTTTGCCCCTCTCTGCTCTTTTCTTACCCAACTTCTACTCAATCTCCAGGTCTAGGTTTAAATGTTAACTTCTTTAAGAGGAAACTCTCTAATCCAAGTGGAGGCCTCTATTACTTGTGCTTACAGCGCTCTCCACTTTTACTTCACCGCTACTTGTTATTTTTACATTTGTTCTCCAGTAGACCCTAAGCTCCGTAAGGACAGACCCACGCCTTCTTACTGTTCTAGTACAAACACCAGAAGAGTGAGAGCACATAACGGGGCTTGATAAATATTCACCTAACGAATGAACGAATAAACCTGGCTGTCCCATTTCAAGTTATTAACAATACCATGAACACAGACTTAGCATGACTATTTTCTTAAAATGTTTGGAAGGAGTGAAACACAGATTACTTGGATGTGACAGTGATTAAGTTTCTCCATAAGTGAACCTTAATTATAAGCAAGATACTGAGAATTTCAGATCTTACTTCGATAAGTCTCTGCCCCTATATCCCACTCCCATATATGTACTTTAACAATAGTCAAGACTAAAGGATTTACTAAACAAAAAAGCAACACTGTAGAGATCATACTAAAAAAACAGCCAAAGTGATAGGCCTGTAATGAGGTTAAGTTTTGCACAGTTCAAGTACAACTGAAGTTCTAGTATATCTGTAATATCACAGGGTAAAAAATGGGCAAGAGGGAAGAAGTTTTTACTTCATTTAATAGCTTTTTCCATTTAAATAGTAGTTCCATTTTTTTACCTTTTCCTTTAAACATTCTTAAAAAAATTCAAATCAAAATTTAGCAAATGTTATTGACTTTGACATTAACTTCACAATGTTTCCCTGGGGTTGTGGGGGAATTACACTATTTTAACCACCAAGATATGCTCTCCTTAAAAATATTTCTCTTCTGAAGAGACAGTTCTTCAAGTCTGAAACCTTTAGTTATTCCTAATATAATTCCTCCACATTTTCCCATAATAGCCTAAAACTGTCATCTTTCTCTCAGATGATAAAATGTCAAATCATTCTTTTTTAACTCTACAGAATTATTTCAAAATTATATAGGAAAAAAAAACTTCAAGTAAATATAATTTGAAATATGTGACTCAATTGTCTTCCTTTGTATATAACAAGTCATCTCATAAAATATTTTCTGGTATTAGAAGACACCACATCATAGCAAATAAGCACTAATACCCAAGTTTTTTTAAAACAAACTACATAACATCCTGCTTGCCTTTATCCCTTACTTTTTTTTATTACCAATTTTTATAAGTACAAAGAAATTATAGCATTGAGAGGGTCTGGAAAATCTTTCACTTTTTTGCAAACTTCACACCACTGCAGCCTCGACCTCCTGGGCTCAGGTGATCCTTCTGCCTGTCTCCTGAGTAGCTGAGACTACAGGCGTGGACCACCATGCTCTGCTTATTTTTTTTATTTTTTGTAGAGACAAGGTGTATGTTGGCTATGCTGGTCTTGAACTCCTGGGCTCAAGCAATCGTCCAGCCTCAGCCTCTCAAAGTGCTGAGATTACAGGTGTGAGTCACCGTGTCAGCCAGTGCTTTGGTTTCATTATTAATTGTCTCACTGCACACTGCTGGAGAAGCTGAAGTAATCACAGTGTCCTATGTTTCATTTTGCAGCTATCAATCTGTGACCTCACAGTTTGAAATAATTCTTTATGTTTAACTCTTATCATTCCAAGAATTAACATTTTCACAGATACTCTCCTAAAAGTAAGCCCTTTGTCCCAATTTGTTCCAAGAAATAAAATGTTTTTCATGTAAGACTATTGGGTGTTTCGAATAAGCACAAAGAACAAGATCTTAACACCATGTTTTCATAGTCCTATTTGGTTCCTGAATTGCACTTTTTTTGTTCCTCTGGAGTTGGGAAACAAGAAGAAAATATGTTCTTCTCTCCCTCTTCTTCCAACACTTTTTTTTTGAGTTGGAGTCTCACTCTGTCGTCCAGGACATGTCGTGTCGTGTCGTGCAGCAGCACGCTCACGGCCACGCAGCCTCCACCTTCTGGACTCAGGTGGCCCTTCTGCCTCAGCTTTCCAAGTAGCTGGAACTACAGATGTGCACCACCAGGTCCTGGTAATTTTTTTTTTTTTTAGTTTATTGTAGAGACAAGGTCTCACTATGTTGCTCAGGTTGATCTCAAACCCATGGACTCAGGTAATCCTCTTGGCTCTGCATCCTGAAGTGCTGGGATTACAGGCGTGAGCCACCACACCCGGTTACACCCCTACATTTTGCTTAAAAGCAGCTAAGCCCTAAGATTTTAATGTATTAAATCTTAGGTTGTTATCTAGAAATTGTATATGAAAGTTTTAAACATAGAGACTTTGCCTTTGAAACACTACCTTTTATTTATTTTTTTGAGTTGGGAGTCTCACTCTGTTGTCCAGGCTAGAGTGCAGCAGCACGGTTATGGCCACCGCAGCCTCAACCTGCTGGGCTCAGGTGATCCTTCCGCTTTAGTCTTCCAAGTAGCTGGAACTACTGGCACAAGCCACCACGTCTGGCTAATGTTTTGATTGATTGTAGAGACAAGGTCTCACCATAATGCCCAGGCTGGTCTCGAACTCATGAGCTCAGACAATCCTCTCACCTTGGCCTCCCAAAGTGCTGGGACTATAGGCGTGAGTCACTGCGCCCGGCCTTAGAGTATTATTTTTTACAAGATCTTGGGAAATTATGCGTGTGTTTACCGGTTTATTTTCTATCCCTTCCACTCAACCTAAATGCCAAGCAAGCAGACACCATGTCTACTTCATTCATACTACGCTATCTAGCACCTAGTACAAAAACTGTCGCACGGAAGCGACTTGATGAATATGCTACATGAATTTAGAAATGTCCAAATATCGTTTGCTGGTGGCTCCAAAAAGCCTACACACTATTCCTCCTTGCTTCTCTCTCTAATACACGTTTTGAGAGCTATGTGCATTTGCGCCGCCCCGATAACTCCAACAGGGCCTCAAAAACCTTTTCCCAAGCAATTTACTTATAGGTTTTTATTTAATTTTTAACACCCCATACTATTTTCTCCAATTAAAGAAAATGAAGAAACTAAAGCTTACAGAGATTTAGAAATGTGTACGAAACTATAATCCCAGTCTAGGAATAAAATTAAGTCTGCTTCCCTCCAAGGTCCAATTCTTTTTGTTTGTTTGTTTTGCTTTGTTTTTGTTTTGAGTTGGGAGTCTCACTCCATCGCCCAGGCTGGAGTGCAGTGGCACACTCATGGCCACCCCAGCGTCACCTGCTGGGCTCCAGCAATCCTTCTGCCTCAGTCTTCTGAGGGGCCAGAACTACAGGCACGTGCTACCACGACTGGCTAATTTTTTTTTATTACTTGTTGTAGAAATGAGGTCTTGAACCCGTAGGCTCAGGCAATTCACTTGCCTTGGTCTCCCAAAGTGCTGGGATTACAGGCTGAGCCAATGAGCCCGGCATATCAAAGTCCAATTCTTTTTTTCTTTTTTTTTTTTTTGAGAAAGCAGGATTGATTAAGAGGACAGACAAGCTCCCACAGCAGGAAGGAACCCTAGGAGGTTGACCCAAAGCCCAATTCTTTTTTTTTTTGAGTTGGAGTCTCACTCTGTCATCCAGCCTGGAGGACAGTGGCACGCCCCTGGCCACTGCAGACTCGACCTGCTAGGCTCCAGCGATCCTCCCGCCTCAGCCTTCCAAGTAGCTGGAACTACAGGCACATACCACCATGCCCAACTAATTTTGTGATTTACTGTGCAGAGAGGTCTCACCACGTGGTCCAGGCTGGTCACGAACCCGTGGGTTCAGGCAATCCTCTCATCTTGGCCTCCCAAAGTGCTGAGATATAGGCGTGAGCCACCACGCTCAGCCTAGCCCAATTCTTAACACTCTCTTATACAGTACCCTTAGCTACAACAATTCTTGCATGTTCCTGAGTCAAAGCCCAGTGCTGCCACATATTAACTGTGTCATCTTGAGGAACCTCAGATGCTGAATCAATAAAACAGGGGTAATTACAGTACTTACCTAAAAAATGTAGACGGTTTAAAGGAGAAAACTCATGAAAGCACTTAGCACATTGCCTAGCACTTAACACAGGAAACACTCAAGAAAAGTTTGTTTATTGTTATCATATTCCTCGAAAACAGAGGCCAGCAAGTTTTTTCTGTAAGGGTCAAATAATAGATATTTTAGGCTTTGTGAGCCAGTCTCTGTTGCACCAAAACCTCTAGGAACAAGCGGGATTTGGCTCGGGCCAGCCCTGCTCTGCAGCCCTGGCTCGAGAATCTCAGCATTCCTGCCATTTGGGGCTGGATAATTCGTTGTCGTGGAGGGCTATCCTGGGATGCTCCTGGGCCCCTACTCACGAGATGCTAGCGGCATCCCCCACGTCGTAACAACCAAAAAAAATGTCCTGGGGAGCAAAATTACCCCTAGTTGAGAAGCACTAACCTAGAGGAATTCAACACATAAATAGGTAGCTTCAAGTCTCTAATAAAGACCTTAACTAAATAGAAAAATAACACAAAAATAATACTCACTTAGCTAAAATTCCCACACTTAGCAGTAACTTTATAACTTCTGTGATACACACGGCTGTGGTTGAAAAGTAGAGTTCTTTGTCAGATGTCCTTGTGTATCTTAAAGCTATGGTATAGGCTGCAGCCATCAGGGTCATCACTGCCAAGCAGTATAACTTGAACAATAAACTGACATTGTCTGGAAAATATGTGTAACAAAGATATTATTTAGTAGATAATATGATGTATGCAAAAGACTATCAACTAGTTATAGCACAAAAATACTTTCCAATTTCAGGCACAAAGTACTTTTTAAAACTCACTAAATTTAAAAATTCATTTCAAAATAATACTTTCCAATTACACAAACACACATCACAAAACACAGCGAACTTGAAACCACAACCAGTAGGCACAGATGTTGCTGGAGAATGCCCCAATTGCAAGACCATGTGGCTTACTGACTCTAGTTTAGGACAGTATAAATCACATATCCTCCCAGTTATCCTTAATTTCCATCCCAATCTTAAGGCTTAGGTTACACAGGGATCAGCAAATTTCTTTTCTTTTCTTCTTTTTGAGACAGGGTCTCTGTCACCCAGGCAAGATCCCTCTGCACCGCAGCCTCGACCTCCTGGGCTCAAGTGATCCTTTTGCCTCAGCCTCCCAAGCAGTTGGAACTACAGGCATGTACCATCACACCCTGTTAATTTTTGTATTTTTTTTGTAGCAACAAGGTCTCACTATGTTGCCCAGACTGGTCTTGAACTTGTGCACCCAAGCGATTCTTCTGCCTAGGCTTCCCAAAGTACTAGGATTACAAGCGTGAGCCATCACCCTCGGCCTTGGGATCAGTAAAATTTTTTTCTGTAAAGGGCTAGAAGTAAGTATTTTAGGTTTTCTGAAACAACACTTGGACAACCCCAGGTTAAGAACCAGAAGGACATGGGGTCACTCCAGCCTGCCACTGTAACTACATGATGTGCTAAGTACACTTTTGCTCACTGCTTTGGGCACCTAACCACAATTCAAAGACAGCATTCACAGGGAAGTAAAACAGGCATTTGAAACAGATTATCCTTAGTACAGTAAGGTAGGCACTTACAAGGAAACAGGTTCTCCAATATAAATATTACCCCTAGGTAAATTAAAGAATTATTTGTGAATGGGAGGCATTCACTCTACTGCATTCAGACTGGAGTGCAGTGAAGCAATCATGACTCACTGCACCTTTGATCTCCTGGGCTCAAGTGATCCTCCTACCTTGACTTCTCAAGTGCTGGGATTAACAGGCACAAGCCCCATGGCCCGGCTGCAAATTTTCAAAATTGTATCAGGTCTTAATTAAATTGCAGAAGAAATAGTTTAGAATTACCTCAACTTTCTTTCCAGAGATATGAGGAGCCAAAAAGCAATGTTTAAGCAAAAGGAAGTGAAGAAGATCACAACACTTCCTTTGTTCTTTCCCACACAAGGGAAAAATGGATGACTTTAAAAACAAACAGCGTTGGCTGGGCTCGGTGGCTCAGTCTGTCATCCCAGCACTTTGGGAGGCCGAGGTGAGTCGACTGCCTGAGCCTGGGGGTTCGAGAACAGCCTGGGCAACTGGGCGAGATCTTGTCTCTACAACAAATTTTTTTTAAAATTAGCCAGGTGTGGTAGCGCGCGCCTATGGTTCCCGCTACTTGGAAGGCTGAAGAGGAGGGATCACCGGGGCCCAGAAGGTCAACGTTGGGGTGGCCGTGAGTACGCCACTGCACTCCAGCCTGGGCGACAGAGTGAGACTCCAACTCATAGTAAATAAATAAAAATAAACAAACAAAGAGAGCCGGGGGCGGTGGCTCAAGCCTGTAATCCCAGCACCTTTGGGAGGCAGAGGGGATTGCCTGAGCCCACGAGTTTGAGAACAGCCTGGGCAACTTGACAAGACCTCATCTCTACAATAAATCAAAAAATTAGCCGGTCGTGGTAGCACTTGCCTGTGGTTCTGGCTACTTGGAAGGCTGAGGCGGAAGGATGGCCAGAGCCCAGCAGGTCGAACTTGGGGTGGCCATGAATGTGCCACAGCCCTCCAGCCTGGGTGATGGAGTGAGACTTCAACTCAAAAAAGTAAAAAAAAATAAAATTTAAAAATAAACAGCAATAAACTTTCATTAGTTAGCAAAGGAGAACGCACTTTCCATCTTCCAGATAAGAGGTGAGCACACTACACTTGTCACCCATTTTTTTTTTTTTGAGTTGGAGTCTCACTCTGTCGCCCAGACTGGAGTGCAGTGGCCGCTCCCGGCCACCACAGCCTTGACCTGCTGGGCTCCGGCGATCCTTCCGCCTCAGCCTTCCAAGTAGCCGGAATTACAGGCATGTGCTACCACGCCCGGCTGATTTTTTGATTTATTGTAGAAATGAGGTCTCGCTGCCCTGGCGGGTCTCGAACCCACGGGCTCAGGCAATCCACCCACCTCAGCCTCCCAAAGACACGGAATTACAGGCTGAGCCACTGAGCCCGGCTTGTCACCCATTTTTATAAGTCTATGAACTCAGAATGGTTTCACATTTTTAAATGGTTGAAAACAAAATTTAAGAAAATTTTGTGGTATCTGAAAATTATGTGAAATTCAAATTTAATGTCTATGAATAAAGTTTTACTGAAACATAGCTATTCTCACTTGTTTCCAAACTGTACGGGTTACTTTTTTCCCTACAACAGGTGAGTTGAATAGTTATGACAAGAGACCATCTAACCCTTTACAGAAAAAGTTTGCCAGCCCATGTCCTAAATTACCAACACTTTCATAAATAAGAGAGATCAAGACTGCTAAATTACAAATTATTTGACTTTAGCTACTGTACAGGTTCCTGATTCTAAAAACAACATAACGAATATTTAAATACTAAATATTTGTAGCTTACATATTCTGACCTGTAAAATCATTTTGTCATCAACTTGGAAAAATACCTATTTGCATAGTAATTATATAGGAATATATATTATATTCTTGAAAATAACTACTGATCTAAAAAGAAGAGTAATCAAACAAATTTAGATATTTGCAAAACATATAGGGTTTTGATGCGGAATAAGATTTTTAAAACATACTTCAACTTTTAATAACATTCTTAACGTTTTTAAGCATGATTTTTCTCTGGCATTTCAGTTTAACATTAGATCGAAATATTTCCTCTTCACTCCATCCACAAATTTTCCAGTATGAAGTTTCAGTTATTAACAATTTCTATTTTTTCAGGGTAACATCAAAAGTCCATGACATGTAATCATTTTAAATTTCCAAAGAATTCAAACCATGCCCAAGGCCAGTAACTATAAACCTAGCCAACTCAAACTAGCAGCTACATTTTAAACCTGCATTGTTGTTTGATCCTCACAAAGTTCCCAGTAGTTCCCACGCAGCATTCGTTTCTGTGTGAAAAATGTCCCTCAGAAGAAACTTACAGCCAGAAGTGATGTATTTTTCTTCAGCTGATTTAACCTTATTTTATGGCAGACAATATTTGTAATACTTAAGAATTTGGAAATTCAAGTCCCAGATAAATCTGTAGCGAATATCAGGAAGATCTGGAAACTACAGTTTTGTTAGGATTATAAATTTCTGTTGGGCATATAAGCCTTGTGACGCAAGGATGCACTGGCAATGATCCCAATTCTGTACATCGCTTTCGGGTAACGATTTCAGGTAACGATTTGACTTTCGCAGTTTTTAAGTTTTCCTTCTAACCATCAACTTCGCTACCCTCGTTCTCTTTCAGTTATCAAGCAACTCTCTTCCCCCCTCGCCCTTTCTTCCAGCGTTGCATAAAAAAGTCCTTTAAAGCTGGACTTCTCGTTCAACATTTACTCAAAGGTGAGCTCTCTGGGAGGAGAGCGGAGAAACAACCCGGGTGTGCCCAGCCCGTCCCAGGACGGCTCTGCCGCCCAAAATGACAGCTCCCGTGGCAGCTCCTCGACGCCGCCCAGCAAAATAAAAGCGCTGCGGAGTCCACGAGCCTCGTCCTCCTTTCCTGACAGTTAGTCGCCAAACATCGCAACCCGCGTGTGCCGCTCCCGGGGCCCAGGAGGCGGCCCGCACCCCCACCCCAAACACCAGAGTGTCCCCTCCAACCACGAACACACAGCATTCTCCACGGGAGGACCTCTTGCTGAGGACGCCTTCTCCATCTCGCTCGCTTTCGGGGCTGCTCTGACGCCCCAGAGACGCTAACCTGGGCAGGGTGACAGGGCCCAGCGCCGCCCGGGCGCTGCCCAGCGCCTGCCCAGCGCCTGCCCGCCCCGGCATCCGCAGAGC